TCTTACTATTTACTATTGTTTATATACTTGCATACTTATATATGTATGTATATTTTGAGCACTAAGCTTCCAACATTCTTTTTTTCTATTCGGTTTTTTTCTATATACAAAAAAAATTATGTACATACTCATATTATGTTAAGAGAGACAGAAAAAAAAACAATTAAAATGTTATATATATCTAATATATTTATGTAACTGTATATATATATATGTATATAAATAAAATATAAATATTACTATGTACATAAATATTAAAGTCTATATAACGTAGCATATATATAAAGTATACGAGCGTTATTTATATAATAATGTGTACGAAAGGAATTAATGAGTACTTACATATCTATATTCACATTAAATCTTAATAAAAGTATATAAGGGTATATATATGTATATATTAATATATATATATATATATATTTAAAGAGGGGATGCTGATAAATTGGTTACTTCGTTGTTGTTGCTGTTGTTGATGTAGAATTGGGGTATTTTTTTTCGTTTTGTTTTATTTTGCTCTCTAAAGCAATGTTTAGATTGGTTGGATTGAAAGTATTAAACACTATATTTGCTTACATACATATATTGTATTAATGAATATACGTAAATTATTTTTGTATGATTTTTTTATTTTATTTATTTATTTCAATTATCTTAAATGAGCCCGTGTAGAATGTAACAAAAAAGGTACAATTGTATTTACAATTCATTTTACAATGTCCCTGTTTCTTTTGAAAAATTACAAAAGTTTATTACAAAAATTTCACAAAAGATTTAACAAGACTTAAGACAAGAACAGACAAAAACAAGAAAAACAATATCAACTAATAATTCAATGAGATTTTAATGTAAAATAGTCATTATCTAATATTAAATAATTCTAAATTTTGAAATGAAAAAGAAAGAAAAAGAAAGTTAAAAAATCAGATTTGATTATGAATTAGAATAAAATTTTCATTGATACATTGAAGAAGAGAATATAAAAAGAGATACAAAACACATCCATATATGTATGTGCATTTATATTATATACATTATATTGCTTTGAATATGTCAATCTTCAATTTCCTATACTCCCTTTGAAAATTTTTCGCTGGTAAGTTTTTTATGTCAGCTGGTAACCCGTTTTATAGTTTCTATACATGTATTTTATAGTATATATACATGTAGGTATATTAATTGAAAAATATTATTACATAATTATGTATGAGTTATATATCATGCAATGTAAGTATATATATAATATGCATTGTAAAGTATTTTCTCTCATCAGAAAGTATACATACATACGTAATATATGTAAATGTATCTATATATAAGAGTTAATGATTTACATTATATTTTATTTATTGCTACATATATACGTATACGTACAGTTATTTCATATATCCGTATATACGATTGGGTTGCAGATTGGGTTTTGGGTTTGCAGTTTTTGGTGAAAAAAATAACAAGGAAATTACCTTTAATTTACACATTTCATTTACTCGATTAATTTATATGTATATGTGTATATGTATGTATTTATTTAAAAAAAATTTAATAAAATATAATTTTAAATAGAATTAGTATGTAAATATGTACGTATACCATTTTTTGATCTCCATATCCGCACAGCATTCTTTATGCTTTTTTAAAATATTGGAGAACTCAATAATGGTACTTATAGTACATGCATTTATATTCGATTTTAATTCAGTTTTAAAAGCTTTGGAGGGTATTAAGAGTCATTTATGTGTCCACTTTGTCACTTGTTATTCCTTCTGTTCCTAATCCATCTGCGTAAAATTCAAGTTTTCCATGTCCCAGTTACCCAGTCCTGCCGAGTAGATTAGCCAAAATATTTTCATTTACTTAACACATTATGAACGTGTCGGGTTCTAGTAACCGCTTATGTGGATTGTCACTTATAATCCTATTATAGGCAATATGGATGTAGAAACTTATTCTAGACTTTTTTTTATTCTTATATTTTTTTCAAAAACTTGTTATTTTTTGAGTAATAGGGCCCTCAAACTTTTTATGTATCCGGATGTATACATTGTGTATATTCGCCCGTTACGCAACATTGTTGCACATGCTAGGCTGCCCCGTCATAATGTGTTAAAATAAAATCTTCATTTTGAATATTTGATTAAAAAACAAATCTTCACGAACGATAAGAGATCTTCAACAGTAGTTTATTTGAAAGAAATAGGAAGTCAAAATATCACGATTACAGTTCGAACCGAATCAGATGCCAAAAAAGAAAATCTAATTATATGCAAAATGATATATGATATTATAAGTTGTATGCGCATTTAGTTAGTGCGTCAAGCCTATTAATATAGAATTGATTACAGCGGAGAGTATCAAAAATTTTCTGTCTACCTTACGTTACCGTGCGTTGCCTATTCATTTTTTGGTCGAAATATTTTTTTGCAAACTTTGGAAAATATGGAAAAAGGTGTAAAAAAATTCGATTCTGAAAATATTCAATAGCATTAAAAAATCTTAATTTTGAAGATATTTTTGTACGTAAAATTTAAAAATTTTATTCTGAAGTTTCGCGCAAAACAAAAATGACTGATCTACAGCGCTGCCAAAAGTGAAGATAAATCTTCACTTTTGGCAGCGCTGGTTTACCTCATTTTAAATCATCCCGAACAATTTTTTTCAATATCTTGCTGAAATTTTGTTTTATTTTGAAGTTTTAATACCTTTATTTTCTCCTTTGCTGAACAATGAGTAGTTTTTTCATTACGATTCTATATTTTGCACCAAACTTATAATAAAAATCTCAAAAACAAACTCAAAAAACATTTTTTATGCTGAGTATATAAAAATATTCTCTATATTTTAATATTAAACACATTGCCTTTATTTTACTGACCACTTAAAATTTTGTCCTTATATCATAATAAAATTGTTATATTCATTGGACCGTTCGAAATTATTCTTTATAACATATTACTCTTAATTTTTGGGAGCAATGGTGATGCCTAAATGTTAAATAAAAATAAGTTTAGTGGCCCAAGAAACGAGGGCAGGTGACTTTATTGCTATAACCACCACTGTATATGTAAGCCATAAACAATTGTGTAACTACTTTTATATACATAGTTCCTTTCCCCATCTTTAAATTTTCAATGAATTTTTATATACATAAATGGATTTAATTTAATTTAATTAAAATAGATTAACATTTTATTCAAATTTCTATTAGCTTAATATTAATATTACTTTAATATTAAATTACTACTATATACTTATGTATATAGAATTTAAAAAGATCTATATTGTTATCTAACTGCAAAAGTTCACTAAGTAATACGATATTCATTAGCAAATTCAACTTATTAAGCTATAATTATTGAATTTTATATAGAAATGTAGAATGAATCCAGTTCCGAAATCAGTAGGAGATGAAATGTTCCTGTTTTCCAAAATTGCAGCATAAAAAATAAGATTATAAGACGCATAAAAATGTAGTATGAATCCAATTTCAAAACAGGAAGAAAAGAAATATTCTTGATTTTTAAACTGCGGCATAACAACACAGTTATATAGGAGGTGCAGAACTACTGAATTGAATTTAATATTATGTCGACTTCCATATTAAATACTAATTTACAATATCGAAAATTTTTTTTCATTTCTTAAATGATCACCATATATTCGATACATTAACGCTTTATATCAATTTTTCACAAATGTGAACTGAGGACAGAAGAAAACTAATCTAATGTTCGTACTTATATAAATGCGTACTTATTATATTCGTATGTATATTTTGCATTGTAGTACAAATAATATATTTCCATAAACGGTATTAAATATATGAAAATTAGCACCAGTAGCACAAATTTAGTTCTGTGTATATTTTATATACAAGTATTTGAATTTGTATAAGTAAAAACATAAAAATATTTTAATATGCGTATTATTAAATATATATATAATATCTAAGTATAGTTTCGTATAATTCTGTAAAAATTTCTTTATAATATTAAAATTAGCATGTATATACATACATATATACAATGTACGTAGAATATTTTAATTGGGAGAGAAAAGAAATAACATAAAGCTGATAATTTTCATTTTTAATTAAATAAAAATACTTATGTATTCACTAACTATAAAATTTAACAAAAGTATGTATGTATGTATATGATAATAAATAAAATTATTATGATAGAACATGTATACATCCTTATATTTTATATACATATTTATGTAAGTAGTACACCAGCACCGTTTAATCGTAATTGATATATTAATCGTAATGGTTTCTGTTATTCTGTTATGAACCAATAGAAAATTATATATTTTTTTTTTCTTTTATAAGTATTTGAAAATTTATTTATTAAATATATTAGTACACCATATTATTCATATAAAATACATTGTCGCCTTATATCAGAACTATCATATGTCATATTTTCAAATTTTTGTAGAAAGGTGAACAATTTGGAACAAAGTATTTGTTCATTAAAACAAAAATTTTTCTGACCGTTCAAAACAATTAAGAATTCGAAAGGGCAATTAATTTTCGACTTAAATTTGGAAATAAATTTGAACAATTTGGTAACGTGTGTTATTTTAAGTTTGAGTCTACTATATACTTACACGTCTGTATATTCTATTTAAAATAAATAGAAAAAATGAAATAAATAATTTAATTAAGATGCAAATGATCAAGTTTTAACGCTATTTGGCAATTAAATATACTATACGACATTATATACTAAGTAGTGTTAATGTAACTTAAATGTGAAATATTTAACTAAAGTAATTATTTAATGTAATCGTATATATATGTATATATATTAAGTTATTTTATATTTTTAAAATAAATTGTTATATATATCGAGTGTAATCGCACTTAAATTTAAGTGTTTAATTTATATTTTATTATATGTATATACATATTTAAATTAAATATATCATATCGTTTTATAATTGCTATTTTGTTGTTTTGCTTCTATGTGGTTTTTTCTATTCTCCTATATTTACAGCAGAATGTATTACTGACGGCGAAAATTCATGCAACAAGAATAGCGGCCACAGCAGCTTTAAATGTAGCAGCTAATAAGAAAACAAATAACAAAACTCATAATAATAGTAATAATAATAAGAATAATAAATATATAAATAAAAATAATAATAAAAATAATAGTAGTAGTAGTAGTAAAATTGATAGTGATGATAACAATTGTAATACTAATATTAACAAAACAAAAAAATGTTTAAGAACAAATAACAACCGTATTATACGTAATAATAATAATAATAATAATAATAATAATAATAATAATAAGAATAATATAATAAATACAAATAAAGGTGATTCAATTATTATAAAACAGAAAGAATATCAGAAAAAACAACAAAAATATCAAAAACCTACACAAAATAATTGTAATAAAATAATTAAAAAATTAATTAATAATAATAATATCGAGAATAATCATAAAAATGAAGATAATAATAAAGAATTTCAATTAAAAATTACAAATATTAATAAAAACAACATAAAAAGAAATAATTTAAATTTAAATACTAGAATATATAATACAAAAAAATCAAATATAATAAATAAAAGATCAAAAATTATTAAAAATCAAAAGAAAATACTTAATAAAAAAATAAGAAGAGAAGAACAACAACTTAAGCAAATAGAATACAATATTGGAAGAAATGAAAATAATATAATATTAAATGAACAAAAACAACAAAAAGAAAAAAAAGGGAAAGAAATTAATTATATTATAAAAAAAAGTTCAGAAAACGGTAAAATTAATAAAATAAATAGAGAAGAAATAGAAGATAACAAAAATTATACTAAATGTAGAAATCTTAGAAAAAATAATACAAATCAGAAACAATTAATTATAAATACAAAAGTTAGTAATATTAAAAAATTTAAAACAAACAAAAAATATAATAAAATAATAAATCAGAAAATAGAAAAATATTTAAAAAAAGAGAATAAAAATATTTTAAATGTTACAATGCCGCCGCCACCACAACCACCACCAGCACCACCAGCACCACCACCATCTACAACACAACAACCACTACCAGATTCATCATTATCATCCATAAATAGTAAAGCACAACAAAAATCAACAATAACGGTGACGGCATCTTTACCATCATCATCATTAATACCAACATCACTAACTTCGTCATCATTAAGAATAGCATCTACACCAGTATCAACATCATCATCATCATTATCATCATCGTTATCAACAACAACAAAAATAGCATCACAATTAATATCGACAGTAGGGACAAATATAGCTGCAGAACAACAAAAGCAATTATCAATTTCTGATATAACACCACGAAAACGTAGAAGAAAACGTGATGATCCTCAAAGTTGCTTTACAAATTCTGAAGTAAGAAATATAAAACAAACAAAAAAAAAATTTTTTTTTTTTTTTTATGTATTGTAGATAGTACTTAGTTGTTGGTTAATGAAAAATTAAATTCAAACTTCAAAGAGAAAATTAAAATTCTGGCAAATTCCATAAACTATATAGAAAATTGAGTTTCTTCTAATAAAGAAAAAAATTTTAAATAAGTTGCATGCCCCTATACGATTAATATTTTAAAGAAAGAAATCTGAAAATTTTGATGGGGAAACATATTACAATTTCATATGTATTAATACTTGTTTAAATATTATTTTAGGCCTTTTATTACCAATATACTCTTACCAATATAAAAATGATATAAGTACTGTATAAAAATTTATTAATTAATATTAATTACTTTTAAAAATCATATTCAATCAAAGATAAATGAATTGGAATTACTATTTAAATTATAAGTATACTTGCTATTTTGGTTTTGTTTTTTTTTTTTTAAAAGGAAAGATTATTAAATAATTTTGTCGTTTTGCTGGTACATGATTTTTACTGAATTTTTACTTAAAATATTTTTAATTTTTAATGCTTTTTTGTTAACTTTTATTTTATAAGTTTATATTTTCCCATTGAAAACTATATGAAATTTACTTTTACCTAATATATAATTTTAAATTTTATTTACATAAACAATAAGATAATTATTATGGTATCAGTATATTCTACCAAAACCATTTTTAATATTCGATTTTGCTGCTCCTCTATAGAAGAAGGAAATGATTATTTTCTCCGTTCGCCAAATATAAAAATTGTTTTTCGTATCGATACAATAAAGCCCTAAAAAGTAAATTGTTTTTTAGGGATTTGAAGAACTATAACTTTGTGTAAGGAGATAGGCAGAGGGGGGAGGGACGCAATTTAAAAGAATATAAAAATATTCTTCTAAATCAACTTGCAAAAATTTACATTTGTGCATTAAATTTCAGTTTTCTATTTTAAATAGCGTAAATATAAACACGGACGGACTTGGGGCAGTCTTATAAATAAGTGATGGCTTGTCTTAGTATATATGATATAAGTTGTATGCAACAAATAAAGTAAGCGTTTCTATTAATAATACTCTTTCAATGTTCATAATTAATAATGTTCCTCAACATAAGTATTAGTATATATGTCTGTGTATATAATAATATGATGTAAATTATCAAATATCTCAATTAAATATTTCGAATATCAAATCTATCTCAAACGTAGACTATTTTTATAATCTGAATAAATCAAGCTGACGTTATACATTTTTGTGTTTTGTTGGTAGATGTTTTCATATTGTTTGATTGCTATTTAAATTTACGAAACCTGCCGATTTTCGGCAGACCCGATGTAAAATATATATATATATATACATACTGAATTATTGTAGATATTCATATAAGAAAATCCGTAATTTATGAAACTGTAACATTAAAACTAAATATATTGAAAAATTATAACATTAAAATTAATATAACCATTAATATAAATTTTCAATTAAATTACAAATTTTTTTTAGTATTATACGATTTACTCTTTGAGTTAACTGAATTTTGGTAAAAACAACTTCATCATAAGTTTCATTCATGATGAGGTGAATATTATTAAAAAATAAAATTATCAGCGTTTTTCAAACCAAATACTTTGATAGATTTCATACTAAAGGTATGCATTATTGTGAATGAAAAGATATGTATATATTTTTTTATTTTGAATATTGAATAACATGAAAATTATTTTACCGATGGTAAATATATTTCAACAAAGTTATGCAATTTTTTTTTGTTCTCAAATGAAAATACTACAGAAAAATGAAAAAAAAAATTTGTTTTGTCTCTCCTAAACATATGCAATTTTGTTTTTTTTTAAATTGTGCTCTGTTAAAATTGGTAAATACAAAAATGAATAAATTATTGATGTTATGTTGTTGTAAAATTTAATATTTTTTTTTTTTGTATAAATATAATGTTCAGCAATGTATTGTTGAATTATAATATAATTAGAAATTATAAAATTTATAAAATTCTATCATTTGAGAATTGCAGCTTTAATGTAGATAATGACATTACAATTAAGCATTAATGATACAGGGGCAAAAGATGAATTGACCTTTAGATAGTGTATGGTGTAGATTAATAAAATTTTGAAATCAGGAATTATTCATAAGCGTTATATAAATATTTATTTGGAATACTCATAAATTGTCTTCAAAAAATATTTAATAATTATTTTGAAAGCTCGGGGACCATTAAATTTTCATTGACCTTCATTGAATTAAATAGTTAAAAATAATTTTATTGTTATAGTTACAGTCATAATAATATGTACATATATTTGTATAATTACAAATTTAATTTAATTAAATGTTTTTATTATAATTAAATTATAATTATGCTTTTATTATAATTATCATTAGTTAATTATAATTAAAATTTCAATTGCTTGTCTTTTTTTAATTTTATTAAAAAAATTGTTTTTGTTTTATTTTTGGTTAGGAATACGATTCAGATGGAGGATCCCCAATGTCGTGCTCAGATGTTGAGAGTTTTCAAGGCAAGATAGTTTATAATCCAGATGGAAGTGCTTATATCATTGATTCCGAAAATGATTCATTATCAAATTTATCGGAAAGTTGTTTAAACAGTAAGTAACTAAAAATGCTTTTTTTGTTTTTTAATTTTTTAATTTTAAAAAATTGAAATTAGATAACAGTGTAATTTTAATAGTTGCGAGTTATCTTTTGGTATATTTTGAAAAATGTTCTATCTGTATTACATTATTCAATTGAATATTTAAAATGAGCAACTTACTATATAAATGTTATAATAGAAATAAATTTTTTTTTGTTTTTGTTTCTTAATTTGAATATTAAGTGTTTATATACAATAGATGTTTTCTAAGTATACATATATAGATATATTATTATTATGTCCGTTTCATTTATAGATCCCCCATCTACAAATAATCCAAAAATTCATTCATTTCGTGTTGTAACAGCACATGATGCAACACATCAAACAAATGAACCAAATAATGTTAAAATACAAAAGCCAATATTAATGTGTTTTATATGTAAATTAAGTTTTGGTAATACAAAATCATTTAGCTTACATGCAAATACTGAGCATACATTAAATTTACAAGAATCCGAAAAATTATTATTGAATCGTGAATATTCTAGTGCCATAATACAGCGCAATGTTGATGAGAAACCTCAAATATCATTTTTAGAACCTCTTGATTTACATAATAAACAGCAACAACAACAGCAGCAGCAACAACAACAGCAAAAACAACAACAACAATATATAAATATTGATTTAACATCAATAACAACATCCTCACTGTCAACGTCATCAACAACAGTTTCTTTTACATCAGTATCAGCATTAACAACAACAGTAACATCAGCTCAATCACCAATAAATTTAATGTCAACAGCAACAACTACTCCATCAATAATAGATAATATTAATAATAAAAATAATAATAGTGATCCAAATGATATATCAATTACATCAACAATATCAACAACAACTGGTACAACAGGAACTAATTTAACATATAATACTAATAATAAAAATAGCATGAATATTGATATCAAAAATAGTAATAATAAAAATGATAACAATGATAATACAGGAAATAATAATGATAATTGTAGTACAACATCAGAAACAAATTCAATATCATCATTTCCAAATAAACCATCATCATCTACCTTATTAACTAAAAATACCAATACTAGTTCACATTCATCGTTATCCTCTTCCTTATCGTCACAACAATTAACAATAAATGCAGCACCCATAGGATCAACATCGCCTGAAACAGCAACATGTTCAATAAATTTATTGGAAGCAGAATCAGGGGCGATATCAGCAATTAATAACAATAATAATAGTGATAATGTAATAAATTTAACTTCACCGTCATCAACTTTAACTGGTGGTGAAATAAGTCATCCAAATAATAGCTGTAACAATAATAATAGTAACAACAACAATAACAGTAATATTAGTAGCAGCAGTAGTAGCAGTAGTAATAATAAAAATAATGATATAACAACAAATTTCTGTTTAACATCAGATCCGACACCAACAACGTCAACTGATAACACATTTTCAAAAAATTCAGCAAGTAATGAAAATGAAAATAATTTAGTAACATCAACAACAACAACTCTGACATCGACAGCATCAACCACCTTAGCAACAAACACAAATTCAACATTATCAGTAATCTCCTCTCCAATATCATCAATTACCACTTCCCAATCTCAAAAATTAAATAATAAGAGTAATAATAATACTGTAACAAATATAAATAATAGTAATAATAATAGCGGTAGCAGTAGTAGTACTAGTTGCAGTAATAACAATAATAACAATAATATTAATAATAATAATAATAGTTGCAATACAATTAATAGTAATTGTAGTAATTTAACATCAGATTTCTTACAACAACAATTACAACAAATGCAGCAACAATTTCAAAAGCATCAACAACGTAGTGCAATTATCGGAAATATCAATTCTAATACTAATAACACTAATTTACTAGGAGGAAATCCTTCAATACAAGCATCATTAGCAGCGGCTGTTGCTGCTGCTGCAGCAGCTCAACAACAACAGCAAAACGATATTAGCAATACGAGCAATAGCGCTAAGCTACTAAATGAACTTTTCCAACATCAATTTCAGCAACAACAACAACAATCGTTATCAATTGCATGTCCTGAACATGCTATTACTGGTATGAAAGGTTTGGATTGTAAAGCATGTGAGTTAATAAATATTAATTTAAATAAATCACCCTTGACACCAACAAAGTCACCAACAAATAGTTTGAATATACCATCACCGTCAGCAGCAGCAGCAGCAGCTGCAGCCGCTGCGGCGGCAGCTGTTGTTGCATCTGCTCAACAGTTAACAATGTCTCCATCATCAATTGTTTGTGGTAATAATGGCGGTGGAAATAATGGTAGTAGTAGTAATCTTAGTGCAAATAATAATAATGCTAGTAGTACATCACAATCTGCAGCATCTGCAGCGCCAAGTTTTACAATCGGTGCATGTCCAGAACATATTAGTGGCAGACCATTGGGCGTTGATTGTGCAAGGTAATTTGATTTTTACATATTCACGTAAATTTTAAACTTATGCATGTACGATACTTACCTTATGAAACGATTTTTCTGATTCACTCCTTACTTTTAAATATTTTAATTTAGGTGTGAAATGATATTAAACACGGCTCGTTTAAATAGTGGGGTTCAAATATCAACTCGAAATTCATGTAAAACGTTAAAATGTCCGCAGTGCAATTGGCATTATAAATATCAAGAAACTCTTGAAATTCATATGAGGGAAAAGCATCCAGATGGCGAAAGTGCATGTGGTTATTGCTTAGCTGGTGAGTAGCATTTAAATATTAAATAAAGAATTATTACTCATTATAATTCAAATTTGATAATTTTGCAATTTGAATTTTGGTTAAAATTTAAAATCTGTATGTTTTAAAAATTCTCGTATAAATTCTAGTATTTGCATGAAACTCCAAATGGAATTTCGAAATCGAATTGAGTGTTCCAAAAAACAAAAACATTATTATAATACATGTTATTTAAAAAAAATACATATTCTGTTAAATAGGTTTATTAATTTAATAAAACTATTTCCAATACACATTTCAATTTACTTATTTTTTTTTAATAAATATACAGGCCAACAACATCCACGTCTGGCACGTGGTGAATCATATACGTGTGGTTATAAGCCATACCGTTGTGAAATTTGTAACTATTCAACAACAACAAAAGGAAATTTATCAATTCATATGCAAAGCGATAAACATTTGAATAACATGCAAGAACTAAATAATTCACAAAATATTCAAAATGCTGCAGCAGCAGCAGCAATATCAGCTGTTGCAGCTGCTTCAGCTGCTAGTTCTGCCAATTCAAATAATAACTTATTGGCATCAACATCTACAGTGGGTGGAAGTGGCAACAATAGTGGTTCTAGCAATATACCCGTAAGCGCGGCAGGAGGTAATAATTCTAGTGGAAATATTGGTAGTACAAGTGGTATTACTTGTTCAACAATTGATTTAATTCGTGATAGCCCAAAAATTCTAATGCCAAATACACATTCAGGTAATACAACAAATATTGGTAGTGGTAATAATAGCAATAGTGGCGTAGGTGGTAATGGTAACGGTAACCCCGGTAGTAGCGGAAATAATTCAATTAATCTGATTTCCCAGCAATCACAACAACAGCAACAACAACAAACTCAATCATCTAGTTCACAAAAACCAAAACCATCATTTCGCTGTGATGTTTGCTCTTATGAAACATCAGTTGCACGTAATTTACGTATACATATGACAAGTGAAAAGCATACGCATAATATGGCTGTATTACAAAATAATATGAAGCATTTTCAAGCATTATCATTTTTACAATCGCAGCAGCAAAATTTAGCTGCAGCTAATTTGCCAGCTAATTTGGCGGTTGCTGCAGCAGCTGCAGCTCAATTAGGACAAAATATACCGAATTTACAAAATTTTTTACCAGAAGCAGCATTAGCTGATTTAGCATATAATCAAGCATTAATGATACAATTATTACATCAAAATTCAGCAACTGGCGCTTTAGGTGCTGCTGCAGCAGCAGCAGCGGCCGCTGCCGCGCAACAGTCACCAAATGCAGCAGCTGCAGCCGCAGCTGTACATCAACTACAACAACAACAGCAACAGGCAGCGGCTGCTGTAGCTGCACTATCAGCAGCAAGTGGAAACAATCCTGCAGCAGCAGCAGCAGCTGCAGCAGCGGCTGCGGCCGCGTCTTTAATTGGTGGATCATCAAGTTCAAATAATAGTAGTAATAGTGGAAATTCATCTCAATCTTCAATACAAATAAACTCTAGTAATATTAATAATAATAATCCAAATTTATCGTCTCAAATTCCAAATCAACAACATCAGCAACAGCAACAACAAAATAATGCAACTGCTGCTGCATTGGCTGCTAACGCACTAATGAATAGCGCAGCTGCAATATCAGGAGTTGGAATTGAACCAGACCAAGGGCTCAATCCAGACTCTTTTGAACCACCAATGGAAATTGATCCAAAACCTACAACAATATACAGTTGTTTAATTTGTTCTGTTTATAATACAAATAATTTAGATGAATTAAATAATCACATTATGTTGGATCGTTCACGTAATTGTAATAATAACAGTAGTAGTAACAGTAACAATAGTAATAATAATGCTAATAATAATAATAATAATAATAATAGTAATAATAATAATGGTGATATTATGCTTATTATTAATAATAATTATATATGCCGTTTATGTAATTATAAAACAAATTTAAAAGCAAATTTTCAATTACATAGTAAAACAGATAAACATATTCAAAAATTAAATTATATTAATCATATCAAAGAAGGTGGTGTAAAAAATGAGTACAAATTGAAATATAATAATACAAATACAATTCAATTGAAATGTAATTGTTGTGATTTTTATACAAATTCAATACAAAAATTAAATATGCATGCCCAACATATGCGACATGATACTATGAAAATAATATTTCAACATTTGTTGTATACGATAAATAATTATGAATTACATCAACAACAACAACAAAATAATGCACTAATTATTTCATCAAGACGTAGTAGTAATAACAATAATAGCAGTAATGATAATATTAATATTAATATTAATAGCAATAATGATAACAATGATAATTCAGCAATATCAATGCAAGGAAATTTAATAACATTAAATGATAATATGCAATTAAATCAAGATAATAAATATAATAAAAATAAATTATTATTATGCCAATTATGTAATTATAAAACATCAAATATATTACAAATGATACAACACATTAAAAGTTTAAGGCATATGCAAGTTGAACAATTTATTTGCTTACAAAGACGTAGCGAAAATATGGAACAATTGGAATTAAATGATGTATTTAAATTATGTGATAACGGTAAGTTTAATTTATTTTACTAAAATGTATGAATTTATAAAATATTCTAAATTTTTCTGGTTTAATGTATAATATCCTCAAATAAATTAATTTATGGTATTAAGAAACACAATTAATATGACTTAATAACTATGTTGTTTTAAGTTTTATTTAAAGTATATTATATTATATTAACTATATTATATGCGGTTATATGCGTGTAAATTTTGCATGGAAACTTCTCTTCAAATTTAAGAAAAATAGAACAGCATTTCTTTACTTCAAATTTTATTTAAGTAATTTCTAACTTAAATAAGAGAATCAAAAAATTATTTTCAGAGCGAGTTATTTTATACAATATTAATAGCAATAATGAGTTTAGAACAATTATATTTCATTTCACATGTCGCACTCTCTTCCTCTCCTAACTTTGAATGGTTAACATTTTGTTTTTTTTTATTGTTATACTATAAAATCAAATGTATGTTTTATATATACTATCATAGTTCTCATTATATAAAACAATCAACATACATACATCCCTATTTAAAATCTATGTAATTACAAAAAAATTAAAAAAAAAAGGGAAATTAAAAAAAAAATGTTAGAACCCCAAAGAAATAAAAAAAATAATAGAAAGAAACTATCGCCTACGTTCTTTTGTAATAAGCATTTTCTATATACGACTACATAATAATTTTAGTCGACTAATAAATAATTAGACCCAGTTATCTTGAACATTTATGGCCCATGATTTTATTATTTTATGATTTTCATGAAAAATTATAAAAATTTCAACTTACTTTTATCACCACTAAAGCTTTTTCAAAGGGTTATGTAAGTAAGTAAATAAGAGAGGGCGGCTCCACTCGTATACAAACGCAAAATCCATGCACTAGGCCAACAGAAAAAGGCCAATCGGCAATCCTAAAAAAAACCCAACATCCAACAATCCCCATGCAGTTCGACATACACGACCCCCTATCCAAACCAGCCAACCTCTCCGGCGAAGTCCAAAAGCGCGCAAGACACATCCCGGAAAGGTCCCCCAGGCAATCGTAAAAATAAGCCCCCAAGACACGCCTTCTCTTCCACATCAGAAACGGACAGGCACAGAGGACATGTTCTACATCCTCCACCTCCGCCACACGCCGACATCCACGACATACAACCTTCAGCAACCCCAAGCCTCCTGGCCATTTTCCCTAAAAGACAATGCCCCTCATTCAAGGTTAACAACAAACTGAGTATAAAAGTAACTGCTACTCTAAATATTTTATAGAATTTTAACTTGAAATTTCTGTTTTTTGTGTTACTTCATGCTAATGAACACAGTCGTACAATATTGGCCCGTAAAAGATGTGAAGGTTTACTATCACTTAGGTAGACAGTATAATGTAGGTATAAAAATTGTTGTAAACAAAAAATAAAAATCGTGTGTTTCAATCGATTTTTTAATTATAAGTTCATAATAGTATCCTGGCAGTGATTAATATTTTCCGTTAAAATACATATTATGTTTATATATTTATATTATATGTATAACATTCAAACTATAGGTATAAAATTCATACAAAAGCAGTAATTTTTGAAATGTTTTAGATTAAATGGTAGTAGTGTAATATGTAAAATAAATCCCTTACTTTCTTTATGATTTTTAAAAGTTAAATGAATGAATGGAAAAATTAATTACAATTTTCGTTCAAACTACTATACATTGAAAAAGCAAAGGAATAAGACAAAAAAAACATAAGTGGCATATAATCAGATTTTTCGACAGGTGTAAACTTTAACATTAAATAATGTTTTCCACGCACTAATACAACAGTAATTTAGGGAAAAACTAACGAAATTAATAAATTCATGTTGAGGCAAAATTTACAGTAATATAACTGATATTTATGTGCATATAGTAATATATTCATGCATTTAATGAAAATATACATACACATATATATATATAAGAGGAAGTAGGACATGGTTGAGTGAGAATTATTTTTTTATACACAGTTAAACATAAATAAATTATTTCAAAAGAATCTTTGATTTATTCATATTTTTATCAGAAACGAATAAGAGTTGCCTAACAAAAATCATACAGTTTATGTTTCAATTACAGAGGATTCAATTATTAAGAGAATTGGCATTCGAAATATACTAGCATATGCATGCATATTATAATATTTTGTTATTTGAAAATACATTTTGAAATATAATTAAAGAGAATTCATAATTATGAATCTTTTAAAAAAGACAAATTTCTCTTTCTCGTACTTCTAGAAAAATTAAAAAACTGTAGCTTAAATGTTTCTCGATTTTAAGAAGTTTTTTTACAAAAGAATTTAGGGCAATTTTTTCTAATTAAAATAATATAATTAAGTTTATTGCTTTCTGCTTTATACTCTTATACTCTTTTCATAATTTTAAATTAAATGTAGATGTCGTAAAAAGTGAAAGACCAAGCCCATCAAATAGCCCTTTAATGAAATATGAACAGGGTACATCAATATCATTTGGTGCAAATATTGATATGCATCATCAATTGCAACAGCAGCATCATCATAATCAACAACAGCAACAACAACAGCAAAATATGGGCTATGATTTGTCATTAGCAAGTCCATTATCAACTAACTTGTCAAACAATACACCATCAATAGCGGATATACAACCGACAACAGTATACAAATGTAATAATTGTGAATATTTAACTGAGATTAAAATCGATATTGATCGTCATATTGAACAAGTTCATCCAACGAATTCGTTAGAGAATGATTATTTAATAATACCCACCAATACAGCCGCATTACATGCATTCCAACAAGCTTTACATGCAGCAGCAGCTGCAGCAGCTGCATCTGCAGCTTCATCTGCAGCTTCATCTTCCTCACAAATATCTAATAAGCAGCAATTAATAGACTATAATCAAGTCGGAAAATATTTTCAACATCAGCAACAAGAATTGCAACATCAACAAAAGCAGCACCATAAAAATTATTCACATACTCAATTACAGCATCAACGATCAATGACACCATCTTCCTTATCCGGTAGTGTTACTAACACTGGAATAACTGATGATATTGATAGCGAACATCATACTGTTAAAATTGAAAAACCTGACAATGATAACGAATCATTTGATGATGTACAACAAAATGATGATTTAGAGGAACAACAACATCTTCAACATCAAGAGTCACAACATCAAAGTGATACTGATGATCACGTTATTGATGAAATTGACGAAGAAGATAACAATAACATGTATCATAGTGTGCGTGACGATGATGATGATGACAACGTTGTAGATGATAATATGGAAGACATGGATGATGATAATAATAAAAGTGATTATCATGAAATAAACGCGATTGTTTGCCCATTATGTCAAGATACGTTTAATAATAAAAAGTTACTGGAAAAACATGTTATGGGTGTTCACAGCGTAAACAGTGACGGACTGGTACGCCTTTTACAATTAGTTGACACTAGTCATTGGTTAAACGCATCACAAGCAACAACCACAACAACTGCCACATCATCATATCGGCAGCAATCTACATCGTCAGTATTATCGTCGTCAACACCACTAAGTAAATCAAATAAAAATCAAACTAGTCCCGAATCAAAAAATTTGGTATCAGCATTGTCTCCATCCTTATCTCCAACAGCAACAACTACATCTTCCAAAGTAACTGAAACAAGTCCCGATAATTCTAGCAATGCATTGGGTAATCAAGGAATACCTTGTACACCTTCTTCTATAATAGCACCATCAACCACTACAATAATACCGACTGTTGCAACAGCATCATCAAGTAATAGTATAAATCCACTATCAATTGAAATAGAATGTCAACAATGTAATTTGCAACTAAAATCAATGCAAGATTTATTGCAACATTGTACAACTAATCAACATTTTATTACAACAACAATATCACAATCATCATCAGCTACTCCAGCAACAGCAATAGGAATGAATGCTACTGATTTATCTGCCTCAGCAACAACATCGTCATCAACATCATCATCAGTTTCTGGTACAATGCAATACAACTGTTTGTTAAAACAATGCCATATACAATTTAATAACATAACCTCATTGGTAGCACACTTTAAAGATAATCATATGAATATTGTTATATCAGAACGACATGTCTACAAATATCGTTGTAAGCAGTGTTCATTAGCATTTAAAACGCAAGAAAAATTAAATGCACATTCATTGTATCATACTATGCGTGACGCAACAAAATGTATGATATGTCGTAGAAGTTTTCGAAGTACGCAATCCTTGCAAAAACATATTGAGCAATCTCACCCAACCACGCAAAATCAACAACCTCAACAATTTCCTCAACAACAACAAGTTGTGAGTAATTCCGGCGATAATAATACTACAAAATCTTGTACAACGTCATCACCGCCTGTTTCACCAGCTAGTAGTATTGGTGGTGATGCATCAACTTTAATAAACATTAATGAACAACAGCAAACTAGGAATTCTACTAGTACTCCAACTTTTGCGGACAATGAACAAATTGGAATCAGTAACAACGTTAACACAATAGTATCGACAACTGCTACAAATGCAGTTAAAACAACACTGTCGTTATCATCCTCTTCATCACCATCAGCGTCATCGTCACCATCAATATTAATACAAAATTTAAATAAAAATGATTCGGACGATGCAATATTAAATCAATCAAATAATAATGATTCGTCAATAATTGATACATCAATAAATGATATTGATAATAATCCTACTTATGAGCAACAAGTTTCTGAGTTAGACGAATATATGAATACACAACGAATGGCTGAAGAAAATTATAACGATATTAATCGTAAACATAAATGCCAAAGATGTAAAGTTGCCTATACAATACAAATTTTTCTACAACAACATTATAAAAGCCAACAACATCGTCGTAATGAAAAGTTACAACAACAACATCACCCGCAGCAACAATCTAACAATTATCCACTTGAAAAGTATTTAGACCCAAATCGTCCATTTAAGTGTGAAATATGTCGTGAAAGTTTCACACAAAAAAATATATTATTAGTACATTACAATAGTGTTTCACACTTACATAAAATGAAAAAACATCAAAATGAATTAGCTGGTAGTACAATAACAGCAGCAACATCAACAATAACGTCACCAGCATCGGTGTCACCGAGTAATAATGATACAATATTCAATTACACAACCGATGAACGTAATGACGAGCATAAGTCAATTGATTTAGACTATGATATTCAAAATAGCAGTAGTAGTACTTCAAATGTAAATACCATTACGAACTCAAATACTTTAATAGCAACAGCAACAACAGCGGCGAATTCAACAACGACCGCACTAACAGCAACAACAGTCTCAAATAATCCCAGTAATAATGACGCAATAAATCAATATAAAAGAAAATTAAGCCCTGAAAACGATTATGAAAGTCCTAAGAAACGTTTTAAATGTGATATTTGCAAAGTTGCATATGCTCAAGGTAGCACACTTGATATCCACATGCGTAGTGTATTGCACCAAACGAGAGCCTGTCGATTGCAGGAGCAACAAAGTCAACAGCAACACCAACAACAATCAATATCACCACATTTGTCAAAAGGTAATAACGATTCAAATAGTAATAGCAATTGTCCAAAGTTAAGTCCAAATAACAATCAAAATCAGAAAGATGATGATTTTAATGTCGCAACAAATTTGACAAGTAAATTTAATAATCAGATTTATAAAACATTATTGGAAAACTTTGGTTTTGATATTGTTAAACAATTCAATGAAATAAATAATAAGGCTGGCATTAGTGCAAATACCAATAACGACAACTTGAATGACAGTGACAATGGTACAAGTAATTTCAGTAATAATATAAATAATAATAATAATAATATAACAGCATCTCCAGGACCAATGCAATCAAATGATAATATAGAACAATTACCATCGCCAATTGATATATCAAATGATTTACACACAACAAATTCAAGTGGTAGTAAAAACAACAACGAAATAAAAGAAACAGCCGTATCTTCTACAGTGACATCGTCTATAGTAACTTCAACAACACCAACGACAGTTACTGCGCCATCAACATTGGCATTAACACCTAGTGAAGAAAAATACTACTGTCGTCACTGTAAGAAAACTTTCTCATCAATATTTGTATTGAAAACACATTGTGAAGAAATCCATAACGACAAAATACCATTAGAATTTTTGGAAAAATTTGCAGAAAAATTCAAGAATTATTATTTAGATCATGAGACGATAACATCACCATCATCATCCACATTACAATTAAATTCAATATCAATGAATTCTGACAATGAAATATTAGATTTTTCCTCTAAAACAAAATTGTCGAATTCCCCTTCACCGGCATTATCAGCAACAAGTAGCCAGAATATTAGTTTAAAAGATCCCCAACAATTATTGGCACCAAAAACTACAGAATCAATTAATTTGTTATCACCTGGTGCTGTAAGCATATCATCAACTAGCGGTGGTTGTGGTAGTAGTAATAATAACAATAGTGGTATAACATCATTAATTGGATCAAATAATTGTGGTAATAATATGACTAATATACGTTCATCTTCATCGCCAACACCAAGTCAATCAAGTTTAACAAGCGGTGGTATACCACCATCAGTATGTAGTCCTGTAGCCGCAGCTTTACTTAAACAACAAGCAACTGCGGCAGCTGCTGCTGCCTTACAAAATCCATTAATGCCAGATTTAGCTCAGAAATTAAATTTGGATCCAACCGTATTGGCACAAAAATTAGTTGAGCAAAATATGACTGGAATTCCTATAAATTTTTCTAATTTAATTAATCAAGCTGGCAATAACAGTAATACAAGTAATACAACCTCAAATAATAGTGCTGCGAATGGCAGTAGCACAAATAATTCGATGAATACATTGGATATGATAAATTTAATGCAATTTCATCATTTAATGTCTTTGAATTTTATGAACCTGGCACCACCTTTAATTTTTGGTGGTGGTAATAATGGTGGACCATCATCATCTGTTGTACCACCATCAATTACAGAACAAATTGGTACAACTAACGGAAATAATAGTAATAGTGGTAGCAATATTCAACAATCGCCATCACAGCAACAGCAACAACAGCAGCAATCACAACAATCCACACCTCAAGTTCAATTATTGGCTGCTCAACAAGCAGTTGCTGTTCAACAAGCAGCTGCTGCTGCAGCGGCTGCTGCTGCTGCTGCGTCGAATAATCAAAAACGTGCCAGAACACGTATTACGGATGATCAATTAAAGATATTACGTGCACATTTTGATATAAATAATTCACCTAGTGAAGAAAGTATTATGGAAATGTCGAAAAAAGCCAATTTACCAATGAAGGTTGTTAAACATTGGTTTCGTAATACACTGTTTAAGGAACGTCAACGTAATAAAGACTCTCCATATAATTTCAATAATCCACCATCGACAACATTAAATTTAGAAGAATACGAAAGAACCGGTCAAGCTAAGGTGACCCCTTTAGTGGAAGGTGGGGGTGGTGGTGAACAGTTGTCTGATTTACAACAGCAACAACAACAGCAGCATCCCCACTTACAAATTCAAAATTCTCAACAGCAACAACGTCCATCATCTTCACAATCAAATGAATCAAATAGTAGTAGTCAGCACCACGTATCTTTAATACCACAACATCATTTAACACAGTTATCGCTACAAGCATCCCTACATCATTCACATATTCAACAGCAGCAAGATAGTAGATCAGATTCTAATCGACCCTTATCACAGTCATCAAGTATTGCATCGAGTAGTGATCGTGAACGTTTGTTGTCCTCATCAGATCAAATACATATTAAATCTGAGCCATCTGATGATTTACAGTTAAATTCAATGGATTCAATTGATCATCATCACCACCATTTGCAACAACAACAGCATAAACAGCATCATCATCTAATTAAAAATGAATCGCATCATTTAAATTTAGATATTGAACAACAACAACATCATCATCTGTTGCAACAACAAGCTGCAGCTGCAGCAGTTGCCGCTGCTGCAGCACAACAACTACAGCAACAACAACATCATCATCATCAACAAAATTTATTTTATAATAATTATGAAACAAAATCAGAATCTGGTAGTTCAGAAGTTTTGTCAAGACCACAAACACCAAATAGCGCGTCAGCTATTACAACATCAGCAACATACAATAATTTAAATGATATTTTGAATCAGCAAATAGAAAGTTTACCATTAAATAACTTAGCTAGCATTGGCAATTTAAATAACATGGGACCACCAAAAAAATTTCAAATAAATAAAATTTTTGAAAAGGGTAATTTTGAAACAAATTCAAATTCATCAAACAGTTCATCGTCGAGTGGAAAACGTGCTAATCGAACACGCTTTACTGATTATCAAATTAAAGTATTACAGGAATTCTTTGAAAATAATTCATATCCAAAGGATAGCGATTTAGAATACTTGAGTAAATTATTATTGTTGTCACCACGTGTAATAGTTGTGTGGTTTCAGGTGAGTTTAATCATTTATTAAATATAAACGTTTGCTGAATTAAAATTTGATAAAATTATTAGCAATATTATAGTTTATTCCTTTTTTTGTTACCTGTCAAACTGCTTTTTGTTCATTGGCACTTACTACTTGTATTAATTATTTTTTATAAATTATAACAGAACGCTCGTCAAAAACAACGTAAAATATACGAAAATCAACCAAATAATTCATTTTATGAATCAGAAGAAAAAAAACCTAACATAAACTATACATGCAAGAAATGTAATTTAGTATTTCAACGTTACTATGAGCTTATAAGACATCAAAAGAATCATTGTTTTAAAGAAGAGAATAATAAAAAATCGGCAAAAGCTCAAATTGCAGCAGCACAGATCGCACAAAGTTTAAGCAGTGAAGATTCAAATTCGTCAATGGATATAAATAATCCGACTTTATTATCATCCAGTTTGGCCGCACAACAAGCTGCTGCTGCAGCAGCGGCAGCGTTGTCAGCCTCTGTTGGCCATCATCAACTACCATCTAATTTATCTCCAAGTCCCAATTTAAATATTTTGGGTGCATCAAGTTCCCCGCATCATCATCTTTCTCATTCAAATAATAAGCTTACTAGTATGTCACCACTAAGCCCATCATCCACTGGGCTTACTGGTGGTAGCGGTGGTGGTAATACTGGCAACACTAATGCAAGTGGTAGCAGTGGAACTAGTCAACAAAAATCACAATCTAAATATGAGTGCGATAAATGTCAATTGACATTTTCACGTTATGAGCAATTCAAAGATCATCAATTTTTGCATATTATGAATCCAAATTTATTTCTAAATCCACAGCAATATGGAAGTGAATTACACCATCACCAACAACAACAATATGGTGGTTTAAATGATCAAGATATGTCAATTGATTTAACATCCAAATCATCATCATCCACATCTTTAGTAAATCAATTAACAAAAGGTAAACGAAAAAACTGCGATTATGATGATAGAATAACATCATCGTCGTCTACATCATCTTCATCAGCAGCAGCAACAGCCGCCCATGCTGCGTCAGCGATTGCACTTCCCTCATCAACGTTAATGGCTGCCAATGCAGCTGCTGCAACAATGTTATCTGATTATGAATTACTGAATAAAAAATTTAAAGCAGATCAATATGAATTTTTATATCAATATTTTTTACAAAATGAAAAAAATGATGAAATCAAAAAGCAATATCGTGAACAACATTTTCAAACAAGCTACGATATTGATTTTTTAACAAATTATTATCAAACAAATGAATTGAAAAAACGTACAAATTATGATTATTTATTTCAATACTATATACAAAATGAAACATTGAATAAAACAACGTCACCTCATGAACTAATGTTATTAGCGGCAGCTGCCAATTCCGGTGGTATCGGTGGTAGTAGTAACAATAATTCAACATCATCTACAATTAATAATAATGATGGTATCAAACAACCAAATATAGATTTTTTATTACAATATTATCAATTAAATGAATCAAAAAAGTTTTTTCAGTTAGAAGCCTCGCCCCAACAAATTCATGATTTTTCATCCCACCTAACAACAAATACAACACATATGAACAACAATACTGTTGGTGGTGATGATAATAGTGATGATACAAATAATAATATCAATCATAATAATAGTAGCAACAACAGTAATAATGCTAATAATAATGCTAATAATAATAATAATAATAATAATAATAATAACGATTATAATAATGATAATGATAATAATAATGGAATTAATAATAATAATAATAGTACAATCAACAATATTAATAACGAGAATACTAATGACAATAAAAGAAAATACTACAATACTAATAGCAATAATGATGATATTAACGATAATTCAATAAGTGATACAATTAATACTGAAAATAGCCAACAACATGAAATTATGAATAAAAATTTAATGAAAACAATATATCCAGAAAATAATAAATTCAATCATAATAATAATAATAATAGTAATATAAATGATGTAACATTAGCAACAGGATCAACATCATCAAATATTATTAATAATAATATACGAAGTCAAAGTAATTCACCAATACCAGTTATTCAACAACAACAACAATTAGTGGCTGCTAAATTTTTAGCTGCTGCAGCCGCAGCTGCTGCTGCTGCTGGTGGGTGCGGGGTTTTACAATCAAAACAGCAACATTTAATTAATGATGAACATAAAATGAATGATTATGATTCAACAACAACAGCATCATCAATATCATTAAATAATAGTAACAATAATGTTCAACAACAAGAATCAGATATTCTTGATAATACAAGGGGATATAATTTATCACCAATACAGCAACAACTATCACAACACAATAGTAATAATAATAACAATAATAATAATAACAGTAATGATATAATAGATAACGAAAATTTTCAACAAAAACAATCAACTTTAAATATGATTAGTGCAGCAATATCATCAACAACAAGCTCAACAGTAAATTCTTCATCATCACCTGTAGCTCAAACAAATTCAGGTAGTGGAACAACAGGAGTATCATTACATACAATGGCAACAGGAACAACAAGTACATCGACAACGCCATCTAATATTGAAAAACAAAACAATAAAAGATTGCGTACAACAATATTGCCAGAACAACTGAATTTCTTATATGAATGTTACCAGAATGAATCAAATCCAAGTCGTAAAATGTTAGAAGAAATTTCAAAGAAAGTTAATTTGAAAAAGCGTGTAGTACAGGTAAGTCGAATTTTCAACATAAATCATTTAAAATAAAAAAGGAAAAAATTTTATAATATTAATTTGTTCTATAATTTTGCTTTTGTTGTATTTTGATTTTTTTTTGTTTTTCTCTTGTAAATGTTTAATAAACATTCTAATATTGTATGAATTACATTTCCAAGAAAAAAGAAAGCCATATACAATATGTTCATGTATAAATATAGTTATAAATGAAATTAACTCAATAGAAATTTCTTCATACAACTGCACAACAGAGAAACGAGTTAAAGACAGAAAAATTAGTAAAATTTTCTCCTCGAATTTGACTCGAACTAGTGACCTACCGCTTTCTAAGGGGACACTACACCATCTGAGTTACAGAAGTATGAAGAAATTGCCAACGAATTATTCATCTTTTTGCTTTATACTGTAATCCAAATGATTACCAAATATTTTTTACATTGAGGTGCCACATGCAGTCTTCTATTTGAAACATAGAATCGCAAGAACATATTAATAGGTTATGTGCCTATTACACTAATAACATTACTGAATTACTAATACAACGTGTAGTTGAATTACTAATACTACTAACTACACGAATTAATGGATCGAATTCATTTGTTTTTCTTTTTTTGGTGTTTTTTAGCTATAAAGGAAGAATTTCAATTATTTTTTTCTCAAAATATCATGGAGACGTATATGACCTATTCGATTCTTAGATTGGAATTCAATTTGAATACAAATTTCTTAATTAAATTTAAAAAATAGAATTATTAAAACATATATATATATATAAAGTTTCCTCTTATAATAAGGCTCCTATGCCATTAAATAATGGGGGTGTATCATTTTTAATTATTGATTTATGGAAAGAGAAAAACAAAAAGAATAGAACATTTTAATTACATACATTCGCAATATTTCTGTAGTTGTTTTTTTTTTTTAATAATTTTTGTAATTCTTTTGAATATTTTGCGTATTTTAAGTTTTTCATTTTTTTTGTTGTTATTTTAAGTATAAATTTTTTCTTTTTTGTTAAAAATTTGTTTTGTATTTGTTTTTGGTTTTTTTTTCTATTTTTTCTTTTTTTTTTTCTTTTTTTCTTTTTTTCTAGTAAAGGCCTGAAGAATATGTTTTTTGTTTCATATAATTTTGAAATATTGGCAGATTTTATTTGTATAGAGCGCTAAAAAAATTCGATTTAAAAATTTTTGTAATTTGATTGAATTTTGTGATTTCGTTTATAATATGTGTGTGTTTACTGAAATATATAAAAAAATGCAAATAAAAAAGAAAAATCAAATGGAAAGAAAATGATGTTAAAGGAAAAGAAAAAAAATTGTAAATTTTTGTTTTTCAAAATGGTGATTTTTGTCCAAATTATTATTATTTTTGTTTTTTTTTTTTACTTTAATTTTGTTTAATTTGTGCAAATTCTAAAATTATATAAATTACAAAAAAAAATTCAAAGTTAAATTTTTCCAATTTAATTTCATACATATATACACAAAAATTATTGTATATAAGAATATAATGAACTTAATGAATACAATTAAAATGAAAGGAACAAATCTGAAAGTATGTGTTTAAAATAAAACAACAGTATAAAATTGTATAATAATCGTAAAATCATTTAAGATTAAAAACAAATTAAATATGTACATACAAATTTGTACGTAACGGTATAATATTATAATTCATCGATCACGGTACTGTTATACAACATACACGATATATTTTGAATATGTATTGCGATTATAAACGAGCGCTCAACAAAAAATATCTCTCAAAATTATGACAAATGAGAAAGTAAATATTTATTGTAATTGAAAAAAATAAAAAATAAATTTAATAAAATTGATTAATTATTTAAAATTTAAAAAATGTAAAAATTCTAAAAAAATTTTAAATTTTATAATATATAATTATTTAATTATTATTTTACTTTGTATATATATTATATAAATATTTATATATATATATATATATATATATATATATATTTATACATTTAATACAACGAAAAAAAAAGGTTTGGTCCCGAGCACGTAAACTTAAAGGTCAATTTTATCAAAATTTACAATACATATCAATTATTAAAAATAAAATGTTCATATTGTAGTGAAATATTTAAAAATTAAATCAGTATTTGAGTTTCATTCAACATTCTAATGAGAAATAAATAAAAAAATTTAATTATTATGATCAAAAAGTAATAAAACAATCTATTAAAATATTTAATAATAATAATTTTTTAAATTATTATGAAATAAATAAAAATAAGAAAAATATTAATAATGATAAAAATAAACGTATATTGAATTAATTTATTAAAGAAAATAATAATATAAATATTGAATAATTTAAAAATTGAACTTTAATTAAAATAAAAAAAAAAAAATCATCAAATACAAAAACTGTAAAATTAACAACTATATACAATAATATACCATCAAAAAATTAATATTGTGTACTTATTACTGTAATGCAGTTATATCCATTATATTATATTTAAAATTTAAATATATCCATATGGACATTATTGTATGAAACACATCTCTTCAATATTAAATATAGATGATTGTACACAATGTATTGCAAATATTATAAAATTGGATTATTAAAAAAAAAATAACATATTCAGTTCAGGTTAGTTTTTATTCACTGAAAATATAATAAAATAAAGAATATATTTTCATTCATATACGAGTATACATAATATATATATATATATAGGTATACCCATATAGTATATTATATAGTTATTAATATTATACGGCAGTCATGTCAAACTAATACCCGTTACGATATTATGAAATTTAATTCTTATATATGTGTATGTTACAAATATTGATTTAGATCAGTAAGAAAGTGTTCTGCGGGGGTTTGTCACACAACCAAACTTATGCGAATAAAAACAACTGTATGTAAAATGTAGTCGAAACCGAATTTTCACGTTAGTATTGTTCGAAAAATGGAAAGCGACTGTTTTATAAATCAAATACCTATATATTTGAACCAGTTTAATGTTCTTAGATTTGTAAACAGTAGATCAGTTGAGAAAATTCGAAAGTTACCGAATATTCTTATCAGAATGAATTATTAAAAACTGAATTTGAAAGAAGATTTTTAGATTTTAATAGATGGAAAATTGAATTTAACCTTTCCCATTTTCTGTTGATATTGAAGCAGTTGATGCAAATTTAAAATTGAAATCGAAACGCTGTGCAATTTTGTATTAAAACAAAAATTTAGAGAAGTGCAAAATACTAAATTTTATTAAATACTAATTTTTACAATTACTACTACATATAATTAATTACTATTTGCTAAGAGTGTTTTAGCTATGTTCGGAAGCAAATATTTGTGTGAAGAATTGTTTTCGATATTAAAAAATAATAAAGCGGCTGAAAGATTAAGATTGACCGATTAACATGTTCAATCAATATCAAAAATTACAACTGCCAATTAAATTCAATTTAATTTCGAAGATTTTGTTACAAAAAAACGTTGCTAAATTTCTTATCAAAGACCTTATATTTTTTGATATGACTGTATTATGTTTAATATCACTTTTTATGTTGATAATAAAAATCAAAATTTGAGTATAATTTCGCAGTTTAAGGTTTTTTATTGTGCGGCACGAACCAATATGTGGAAGCTCTGAAATGGCCTGTGATGATAAATGAGTTATTATGCTTGTTATAGGGGATTGAAACATTTTGAGATTCATAAATTACAATACAATAAAACACTTTCTGTTATAATACAGAACTTTAGTTATTACAACTTATATTGCTGTATATAATTAAATGCCGCGTATATAACTATTATTACTAGCATTATATTATATATAATGTGTATGATCTCAATGAAGTTCTCAGATTGAATATATAAAGTCATAAAAATTTATTATAGAAACAAAAATTATTAGGCATATACATATGTAATTAATATTGAATAATTTTTTTTTTAAATGATTAAAACAATTTATTAATGAATTGTTTTTACTATAATTCACTCGTTATTGATAAAGCAAAAAAAAATAATGTCGGTGTTATCACATTGGTGTGAATTCTTTAAAATTAAATCTACATTATAATGTCAGAAATTAAAAAAAAAAAACACATTTATTATATTTTGTTTTTTGTATTCTTTATTATTTTGGACATAAAAATCACCTCTTATTTGTGAAAAAAAAAACAAGCAGTAAATTGGTATTTATTCGTATTTTAATTTTTTTGTTTGAATTATTTTTATATTTTAATTAATTCTTTTTTAAATATTATAAGCTTTCTTGAGTTTTTGTGTGAATTTTTGTTCAATATTTTATTTTTTTAATTAAAATTTGCATCCTTCTATATATTTTACTTGAATTGTGTATATTTGAAAATTGAATAAAAATTAGAAAGACTAAAAAATATTTTTATATATAAAATTTTTTTTTAATTAAGACTAAAAAAAATAATTGAATTTTATATTTCAAAATAATTTTAATTTATTTTTTTGGTTTTTTTTTTCTGTTTTTTTTATTTAATATTTTTAAAAATGTACGTGTTAAAAAGGTTTGGTTTCAAAATGCTAGAGCTAAGGAGAAAAAAAGTCGTAATAATCGTTATATTGATGAAAATAATGTGCTGGAACAACAACATAATCATGATTCAAATAATTCTTTATCAAATCAACAACAGCAACAACAACCAAAATCACAACAGCAGCATCATCATCAATCACAACAACAGCAACAACAATCATCGTTATTGATATATGATGATTGTAAATTATGTAACATAAAACAAGTAAATATGCAAGAACATGTATTTTCATCTGGTCATATTAATCAAGTAAAATTAATGCTTGAATCAACTGATATTATAAATAATGGTAATAATAATAATATATTCAATAATATTAATAATATATTAGATAATTCAATTTTATCATTAAATAAAAATTTAATAAACGAAAATAATTATAAAGGTAGTAGTATGAATATTATAAATAATAATAAAAATAAAAAGGATATTAATAATAAATCATATATAAATAATAATAATAATAATAATAAAAATTTAATTAATATGGCTAATGGTAATAAAAATTCTTTTAATATTTTATTTGATAATAGAAATAATAATAATAATAATAATAATAATAATAATAATAACAATAATAATAATAAAAATCATTTTAATGGTAATATAAATGAGACTGAAATTGAAAATGGTGATAATAATTATGATATTGATCTAAATTCAATTCATATTAATAATATAAATATTAATAATAATAAAAATGGTGATATTGATAATAGTTTAAAAAGAAATTTTTTTTTTCAAAGTAATTTCAATAAATTAAAAAGATATAATACAAATGATATAATTAATGAAAATTATAATAAAAATTCTAAAAAATATAAAAATAATCATAACAATAAAATAATTATAAATGATAATGACAATGATAAAAATAATGATGATAATAATGAAATTGATCATATTGAAAATAATAATAATGATAATGCACAAAATAATAATGATGAAAATGATAATAATCAAAATGAAAATAATAATAATGATGGTGATGATGATGATGAAGATGATGATGATGATGATGATGATGAAAATATGACAGCAGCTGCTGCTGTTGCTGCTATCAAAAATTTAAATCAATTACAAAAACAATTAGCTGCAGCTATTAATAAAAATAATATTGAAAAAAATTTTACAACAAATTTAAATAATGTAACACAATTTAATTCAATAACAAATAAAAAATTAAACAATTATAAAAATTATGAAAGTGATAAAATTGATGATAATGATGATGATCATAATCATGATGATAATAATGATATAGATGATACCATAATAAATTCAAATAATGATATTGAAAATTATAATAATAATAAATTAAAATTTAATATAATTAATGATAATTCAAGTAATAATAATAATTATTTTTATCAGAATGATAATATTAATGATGTTATTAATAATAAAAATAATAATAATAGTAATGAGAATGGTAATGATAATAATAATGATAATAATGACAATAATAATAAAAGTAATAATAAAAATAATCATACTGGTAATAATGATAATAATGATGATGATGAGGATGATGATGATGATAATAATAATATTGAAAATGAGATTGTTAATAATGAAAATAATATAAAAAATGATAATTATAATATAAATTTAATAGCAAAAAAATTTAATAATAATAATAATAATAATAATACTAATAAAAATAATATAAATAATGCAAAAATAAATGCAGCACATCAATTATTAGTAGAAAATAATATATTATTACAAATAAATGCAGCAGCAGCTGCTGCTGCTGCTGTTGCAGCAATATCAAAACAAACAACAAATAATATTATTAATTCAATTCATGCTAATAATATTGATGATAATAATCATAATAGTAATAATATTAAATATATTGAAGACGATGATGACAATGAAAATATAAATAATGAAAATTTTAATAATATTATTGAAATAAATGAATATAATGATGCAGTAACAACAACTATAACAACAACAACACCGACTATAACAAATACGCCAACAATTACTGTAGCAGCTGTAACAACTACAAATTCAAGTTATTAAATTTTTTTATATTTTTTAATAAATTAATTGATCAGCTATAAATCTATATCAATATTATCATTAAATTACAAAATTAAAGCGATATGACTAAAACAAATTTAATCAAAAATAAAATTATAACTAAAACTTAAGCGTTGAAACAAAAAACAAAACAATAAGTGTAAAATTTAAAATGAAAACCAAATTTAATAAATTCCTACAAAAAAAAAAAAAATTGTGAAAAGAATATACCAGAAGGGACAAAATTTGAAATTATTATGATGCTCATTACCTATATATGAACAGAAACAGCATTTTAAAATATACTGAAATTATTATACACTGCTGTAGGGTTAAAAGGATGGCTGGTTGGTGAAGCAGAAATTCGAAGAGGAGGAAAAGAGAAAATAAGGAACAATAATCTTTTTTATACACATATATAAATGTATATATGTATATGTATATATATATGAATCAAAAATATATATACATAAATATAAATATATATATATATATATATATATAATTATATACAATTAGAATCAATTATAGTAAGTATAATATATATAATTAAATATAATTATAGAATTATTAAAATATCATTGAGAATATTTTTATTTTTGTATAAATAAAATTTCTTCAAATGCTACTACATATGTATACATACGTATGCAATACAAACTATTAAAAAGAAAAAAATATTTAAGATTCGTATATTATATAAAAAAGAAATACAATCGTTTATTTTGCATAATGAAATACATACATACATACTATTAGATTATAATTATATTTATATAAAAAAATAAAAAAAAAAACATTTACATATTATATAAAAAATTCAAATACATACATATTAAGTTTTGTTTTAGTTTTTTTTTTATTATTATTATATTAAAAGCATTATAATTTTACATTTTTTTTTGTCATTATATGCATATATATTTATATATATATATATATGTGAGTTATATTAATAATATCCTATATTGACATACATTCAATAGTATATCGTTATATATATATATCTATAACAATTGTATATATATATATATATACATATATATATATATATATATATACATATATATATATATACATATATCTATAGTATATATTTGTATAACATTAATTTATTTTTTAATAATTTTCTTCCAGAAACACAAAATTATAATAATATTTATAATATTAATAATTATAAATATTATAATAAATAATAAACATACATGAACATAGATATAATATGAATATATATTGTGATAAGAACATAATTGCATCAAATATACATAAATATAAAAAAAAAAACAAAAAATCTTTGACTGATAAATAAAAATAACAAAAATTAATAAATAAAAACTAAAAAAACGGAAAAATTAATTAAAAAAAAGTCTTATGTAAGAAAAAAAAAAAAAACAAAAATAAAAAAAAAACAAAAACTACTTTCTCTTCCTTTGAATAATTTATTTATAAAAGTATTACAAAAGAAAAAAGTTTCACATTGAACACAAAGCAAAAAAATTTATTATAAAAGTTTTAATAAATTTGGCATCAATTTGTAGAATAGTGATGAATTAAATTACAACTGTTTACCATAGTGAACTACCATAGAAACTCGCCTTTTTTGTAAACTCGAAAGTTCTATATATACTCTAAATAAAATAAGAAAATTTGAAATCCCATACAACTATACTTTTGAATAAAATTAATTGCAACCTGTATAAAACGAATGATTTCTTGGTTATTCTAGATTCGATCACAACTTACTTTTTTTTTCATTTAATTTATTAAATTTTCAATTTCCATATTCATTTTATAAAACAATGAACATAAAATAAAACAAATTACATTCAATTCCAAAGTAAAATGTTATCAAAATATGTTAACAGAAGTCGTAAGAAATTAGAGTAAATTAGTAAAAATTCAAAATTAGTAAAAGTCCAACCACTATAAAAGATAATTTTACCATCATATGGCCAAAAATATGACAATCATACAAAAAACGTTGCAAATATATTCTGGATAATTTTATTTTTGTCCTACGGTCCAATGATATTTAATTATGATTTTATATAATATACATATATTTATATATATATATATATATAATTTGACTTTATATTGTCCATTTTTAGAATTTCGGTTCAATGTGGTTTTGTTGCTTTTTTTTTTTTTTGTACTGTTCCTCCCTAACACCCACCTCTCTTCTAAACTCTTATAATCTAAAATTAAAAATTCATCATTATTTATAATGATAAAAAGCTTTATTTGCGTTATTAATGGATCCCTATATATTAATATATATATACATGTAATTATATAATGTATTTAAAAAAATATAGGATATAAGATAAAATTTCAATATTTTTCTTCAAATTATAAAAAAATAACTCAATTATAATAATGATAATAAGAAAATAAAAACTAAACTAATATAATTAAACATTAAAAAAAAGTGCTAAAAAAACAGTTATAATTTGTATATTAAAATAATATATATAACAATATTATGGTAAAATAATAATTATAAATTGATTAAAATATTTAATTATTTATTATATAATTATAATAAAATTAAACTTTATTATGTATATATAAATATATATATATATATATGAAGTAATAAATGGGCATTTAAATTTTTTTTTGTTTAATTATTATTTATATTTATAATAATGAAAAAAAAGTATAAATGTTAAAATATACAGAAAATAAATTATTATTATTAAATAATTAAATTATTTTATAATATTTAAAATATGTTCAGGCATACATATACATACATAATACAAGGTGATTCATTAATAAATAATATATTTCAACGTGTATATACTGGATACGTTAAGCAATATGAATTTAAGAATTAATATCTATATAACACTCATTTAATGTAATAGTGACATAATTCAAAGTCAATACGATTTCTTAGTTACTTATACAGAAATCATGCACATTTAAAAAAACTTATTTGTGCAACAACATGCTTTCTCTATAACTTGAAAATTGGCCATTATGGTAAATAAAATAATACTATTATATGAGGAGAAGAGTTTCAAAATTTTAAAATACGATTATCTCAAAAATGTTTAAATTTTGAGTTATGAATTAGTGTTGTAGCAAAACAAGCGAATTAATATGTTGTTTCCATCAAAAAATTTTACATATTTTTAATTCTTTTAACGACAATGGAATATATATACATGAGAGTTTGGGAGATGGGATTGGAGGGTGGAAAATCCTTTATTAATGAATTACTTTGTATATAAACAGGTTTATATATTATTATATGTATAACGAATATAAAATTTTCTTTGTATATTACAATGGATAAGAGAAGAAAAATGTGATAGGTGCTTCTTGGCGACTGTATTGTTAATACATAATTGTATTAATAATTTAAATAATGATTTTTAAAATTTGTGTTTAAGACAGGTACCAATATTGAACAATATTCAAACTCTTATATATATAGCCTTTATGCAATATTGCTAACCAAATTTTTTTTTGTTTTTTTCTTCTCAATTCTTTTGATGGATTTTTTTTAGATATCTCATCATAAATAATATGTTTTTATATACATGTATATGTATGTATATATATATATATATATATTGTTTTTATGGAATATTGTGTTCGTTTTTAAGGTATATTATGTAACACCCTTTCTTTTTCTCTGATGAACTACAGATAATAAGAAACTCCCAAATTTTTACTATATTTAATCTCTATATTATATTTTACTAAAGAGCACATAGTTAAGCACAGTCTTAATCGAATAAATAACCCTTAACATTTATTTATAATTTATTCATATATGCATATGAAAAATAAATACAAATTTAAAAAAAAACGAGAAAAAATAGAGTTGACCTTGTCAACTCTGTGATACCCGTACGAATTTGTTATCTTATGTTCGAATAAATATTCCATAACTGACTATGGGACAGTCTATGACTTTAATTATCATATTAACTTATGCAAAATTTCAGTACTTTGTTTTTCAAAATACTGTGTGCGCCAAACTACTATTGAAGTTGTATGGCAGCTACCAGAGAGAGCCAAGAAATTTTAACGAATTATATCAAGCACATCGGCCTTACTAATATATTTGCCTGTGTGAAATTTCAATACCATAGCTTTTATAGTTTTTGAGATATAGCCAAATAACTTTTGAAGTTCTATGGCAGCTACCAGATAGAGCCAAGAAATTTTAACAACTTTTATGAGACACATTGGCCCTTCTAATGTATTCGTTTGT